CCATTCATGTCTGTGAGAGGCTGTATACTGTAAGTGGAAAGACATCAGCATTTACTCTGAAAGGGTTCAGTCACCCATGTGCAAGGCCTGTTGTCATTTTATACATTCATTTGCCACTTTGGCCATTTGCATCTAATCTGTACATATATCACAAATTCTTTTTTTTTTTTTTTTAATCTTAGTGCCCAGTGAGATTAATTATCTGCTGTTAACGTATAGATTGTTATCTGTCATTATGTGGAAGAGAATCAGTCCCTCGATTTTTATGATCTCAATACTATTTTGGGTTCATTGCAGAAACAAGTATCTTAATATGGTAACAGAGAAATTCCAGGGATCCCTGGAGAGACAAGAGGCCTCCAGACTGCCAGTGGCGTCCCCACCATTCTGCATGAGGGGAGAACCTGAATAGTTTCCTGGCATTGACTTCTGTTAAGGTTTTACGGGGACATGGAGCCAAACATCCCTGAGAGGAGTCATAGGCAGCTGGGCAGGGTGGGGGTTCATCAGCTCATGTGCCCCAGGTGAATTCAACATTAGTTTTTGTTTACCAGACACACTAATTAAGGAATGATGTTGAATGGCCACCCAGCAGGATAATGCTCCATATCTGATATTATGTTATATAATAACATATATAGAAGCTGAAAAGGGTCAGCTAAAGCTGGGGAGTGCTTAGATGGGAACAGTGACCCCTTCCACCTCCCAAGATGAGGAAGTGCTGCTTGACCCCTTACCAGCATTATGCTACCCACTTTATTAAAAAAGGCGGTTCTCTGTCGATTATTTATTTTGCACATTCTCCACAACAGTTGAATCCTGAGAGAAAACATTAAGAAATGTTTAAAAAAAAATAAACATATAAGCTAATAAAGCTTTGGAAAAGTAGCTCTTTGGTAAATTAAGCACATATTATAAGATTAGCAGCACTTGGGTATGGGGTAATTAATCCTGATAACCTATTAAAATAAAAAAACGACATAGTCGGTGTAGAAAGACACTTAAAAAAACACACACACAAAGCACACAGAAGCTCATATAAAGCTAAGCATTTTAAACTTCTAGAGTGAGATATTTTATCATTTTTGTTTTCTATTTATCTTGGCACAAGTGAAATGTATATGCACCACCAGTCCTCCTGTACGGGACCCAGGCAACTGGGTGAATCAGATTTGTGGGCAGGGAGGGTATTCAGCACGGCGTGCGGGGGGGTGGGGGGGGGAGGAGGATTACTGGAACCAATCCCCTGTATGGATTTCTGCAGCAGCTAAGAGCTGGCTTCTTCTCCTCTCCCTCCCGCGGCTTTCATCTGCTGCAGATAGAGCCATACAGGGGATCGGTTCCAGTAATTTCCCTCCCCGCCGCACCTATCACCCTCCTTGTTTCCCTCTGCTGCCCAAGCTCCCCCTGTGTGCCTCCACCGCTGCAGTGCTGCTGGTTTTCCTCTTCTCCTTTCCATCCAGCAACTGCAGGCACGCAATAGGATCCTTCAGGATGGAGAGTGGGGGAAAGGTCTTGTAAGTATGTCACATTTACCAGCCTCTTCCTTTCCTGAATGAACACAATCATTCCAGTACTGGTCACTTATTGTGTTCATTCATAACGGAAGCATAGTAAACTGTGTCGTATTTTTTTTTGAGGGAGCCTTGTCAGGTTGGCAGTATGGGGCCCCATGGTTTCTAACAGCAGCCCTGTGTAATGTAAATGAACTGGATTCAGTAATAGTTGGTTACTCATAAATGGGCAGGGTAACCTGTGTAAAAATACATAATACACACCTTTCTTTTTTCTATTTTTTTTTTTACCCAGGTTAGTTAAAATAGGTGTTATCAGGGAAGGTAGCATTTTAAGGCTAGTTAGGTTTTAGCTGGAATTCTACTTTAAAGCCTTTCTGGCTTACACTTTCCTGCCCATTTATAAGTGTCCAACTATCACTGAATCCAGTTTTCCGAATACCCATATACAGCCTGCTTCATTCGCATGATCCACTGCTGTTTCATTCAGCGGTGGCTGCGGGGGAATGGAATGAACACTCAACAATAGCTGGGAAAGCCAGGAATTATGACATCACCCATAGGCTCCCATGTTGAAGCCTTTATCAGCGGTCCCTCTCTTGCAAATGCCACTGGTTGAAAATAGAGGTGGCAGCTTTTATTGTTGTCTATGTCTCCATTGGGGATATTTACCCTCTTTGTCTGTCATGGTGACCTTATCACCAAAAGGGAAATTCCAAATTTTGGGTGGTCCCCAGAACAAGAATAGAGAGGAAATCTTTCAATGGGGGCAGTAGTTGAGGTGACCCTGGTGACTTTCAAAGATTTACCTCATGGTCAGGTACCCTGATGCTAATGAGCCCCACTGCCCACAGACCCCCACAAGGGTTGTGGGGAAGAGGCCCTTGTCCCCATCGACATGGGGACACCATCCCTATGCCGAGGGCACATGGTTGGGTAAGCCGCAAGGAGGGAGGAGCTGATCGATCATCCCCCCTCCTTTCCTGCCCTGCCAGGCCTATGCTCGGATCAAGGGTCTGGTAAGAATTTAGGAGAGAGCCCATGCTTTTTTCTTCCCGTTTTTTGGAGGTGGGGTTCCCCTTAAAAATCCTACCAAGACTAAAGAGCTTGGTATGGCTTTTAGGGGGAACTCTCAAGCACTTTTTCCACCATTTTTGGGAGGTGGGGTTCCGCTTAAAAGTCCTACCAGACCTAAAGGCCCTGATATGGCTTTTAGGGGGAACCCCATGCACTTTAAAAAAAAAATACTCCAGGGTCCCTCCTAACCTTCCTACCAGACCTAACGAGTCTGATATTGACCAGGAGGGATCCACTCTGTTTTCTTTTTTTTTTTCAAATGTCATTTGAAAAAAAAAAAAGTCAGTCCTGCTGCAGCAGGTTCTATACATTGTACAGATGTGCTACTTCTTAAGTAGTTTAAGTAGACTCCCCAAACATGATATTGAAAGGATTTGTTTTTTATTTTAAGCAATGAAAAATGACTGCCCCTTTAAAATTTGTACTTTTTAAAAAAATGTTTCTGCTAATTCATGTCCCTCAGGACAGTACCTGAGTCCCCATACCCCTTTTATGGCCAATAACTTGCACATAAACCTTCAAAATTGGCACTTTTGAAATTACAAGTTCCAGTCCCATAGACTTGCATTGAATTCAAAGTTCACAGTGGAACGTTCATTAGGTTCAAACGTTCAACAGCGAACCGAACACGGGTATGTTCAACCCATCACTAGTCACTAGATGAAACCAGGAGCAGTGTAGCAATGCTCTTTATGACATCTAGTGATTAAACGCATTGGATTGAGGCTTAACCTGGGTGATGTCATTCCATATAGGCTGCTCATGTGATCTGAATAGGATGTGGAAGTCTGTTGTATAGCAGAGTTCAATGTTTGGTAAAAGATTGGTACAAAGCTGAAGGTTTTGATTACATTGGTCAAGAGGTGGTCTGGTATTGAACTGTACAAAAGGGAATGGTCTGCATCCCTCACACAAGGACACTGAGCTTCTTAATATGGAATTTAGGTGCATTTAAACAGAAAAGTGGGCAGAGATTTAATTGATATGGAGTATTTCTGTCCCCAATGGGTAAAAACAAATGTGATGCTTTGTGTTGCTAAGGACTTGGTTGATGGGGTAGTTGATTCCATTACATTTTCTGGTGCTAAAAATACAGCCATAGATAGCAGGGTTTTAAGGAAAAAACTAACCTGTTTCAGATTTTTCCTTAATGAATAAGTGTTAGCCCTATAAATTAGGGGAGACGGTTGCAGTGCAAGCAGCTTCCAAGACCAGTAGAACCAGCCTAAACCCAGGATTCCTATAACTTACCCAGCAGATTGCAAGATTTGCCATGTCATGTGCACTAATGCTTGTAGTTTAGGCAACAAGCTTTGTAAGCTGACAGCTCTTCACACCTGAGTGCTTTGTAGCGCAAAGCTTGACGCTCCGAAACGTTCAGGGAGAAAAAAAATCAATATTACTCTATGGAGATGGTTCACATCTCTACTCCAAGTCTCCTGAAGCAGAATGCCTGATGCTCAAAAAAAGTTTTGGAGCTACTTTTGTAGCTCAAATTGGGCAGATTTGCACACTTTTGGCGAATTTTTATTTCCATAGAATATAATAGAAACGTGCAATTGGCACGTTTTAATTGCTTGATTTTCTGCTCAAATGAAAAAATGTTACAAAAATAATATATGAATAAATACATTTAAAATAAATAAAATAAATACAAAAATCATGATAAATAAATATTAAATAAATAACCCCTAACCTTAATTTTTTTTAAATAAATAAATTAATATTTATTATTATTATTAAATAAACACCTGAACAAAAAATACATTATTATTAATATTAATAATAATAATAATAATACGTTGCTTAATATATTTTTAAGAGTTAGGGGATTAAGGCTAGGGGTTAATTATTATTTATTTATTGTTACAATTTATTTATGGAGAGTCAGAACCAGGAAGGAGCCTGACCATGGCTTGGTGCAGGAGCTCGATGTGAGGGCTCCAGTGTCCTGCTGAGAAGGGGAGAGATGTGAGGGAAGCCCTGGAGAGACTATTCGGGGAGAGGGGGGGCTTGCCTGGCGGGGTGTGTGGACCGAGGACCCATTGCGGTGGGTCTTCATGTGCTCTTGGCCCGAAGCTGTGTGTTCCCTGAAGCTCAGTGGACGCTGGGTGATCAGGTGCTCTGCCACAAGGGAGCTCTGGGAGGCAGAGGCTTCTTGGAGCAAGGGAGACATCGGCTCTCTTCCTTCTGCACACAGGACTGTGGCAGATGGAGACACGTGGAAATGGGCTGGGTGAGCCCCCTTGCAATCCATTCATTGTGTGAGGGGAATGTCGAGTGCAATGTTCCCCAGAAAAGAGTACCTGGAGCCACCTCACCCCTCACTTGGAGTAAAAGAAGAGATGTCCTAAAGTGCAGGAAAGTCTCTCAGAGAAGTTCAATCTCTATAGAAACCAGAGATCTCACATGGAGGAGAAGTATTCCTGTTTCGAGTGCGGGAAATATTTTTCATGTAAGTCGTATTTTTATAAATACCAGTGATAATACAAGAGGGAGCAGCCATACCCTTATTCAGAGTGCGGGAAATGTTTTTCACAGAATTCCAGCCTGCATATATATCAGAGACCTCACATGAGGAAGATGCTATATCCCTGTTCTAAGTGCGAGAAATGTTTTCTCAGACAAAACTAGACTTTACATATATCAGAGATCTAACACAGGTGAAAAGCCATATGTCTGTCCTGAGCGCGGGAAATACTTTTCAGTGAAGCTTAGTCGTCACACACATCAGAGATCTTACACGGAGGAGAAGTTGCATACCTGTCCGGAGTGCGGGAAATGTTTTTCATGTAAGTGCTATTTTTATATATACCAGTGATAACACAAGAGGGAGCAGCCATACCCTTGTTCAGAGTGCGGGAAATGTTTTTCACAGAAGTCCAGCCTGCATATATATCAGAGACCTCATATGAGGAAGATGATATATCCCTGTTCTAAGTGCGGGAAATGTTTTTTTAGATAAGTCTAGACTTTACATATATCAGAGATCTTACATAGGTCAAAAGCCATATGTCTGTCCTGAGTGCTGGAAATACTTTTCAGTGAAGCCCAGTCTTCACACACATCAGAGGTCTTACACGGAGGAAAAGTTGTATATCTGTTCGGAGTGTGTGAAATGTTTTTCAGAGAAGCCCTTTTCTTCATATATGACAGAGATCTCATACGGGGGAAAAGCCGTATTGGGGACAAGAGGGTGCGTGAGAGCGGCAAAAGTGCTGAGATTATTATATATTGCATGGGAACTGAACTGTATGTATTGAACTATATGTTGAAACTGAGGAGGGGTTCACCCAGGGGGGGAAAATCAGAAGGAGGACAATGTAAAACAGATAGAGATCTAGAAGAAGAGGACCCAGGTAGATGAGTCCAGGAGTGGGGGAAGAGAAAAAGGAAGAAAAGAACTGACAGGGGGATACCCATGGAAGACAACAAATTTTGATATCAAATCAAAAATAGACTTCCCCCCAAAAAACCAGAACTGCGGAAAATTGAAATAGTCCCTGACAGCATGAAAAACAAAGTATCACAGAGAGGAGGACCCTAAGGCTTCCCAAACAGGGTCAATTAAAAAATATATACCCTCACAGGAGAACAGACTCCAGAGAGACAACAGGGAATAAGTGTAAGAGGTGAAAGGGAAAATGGCGGGGAATGTTCCAGACTATCCCTGGGAATAGCTAACAGTAGTCAACATATGGAAGAAGAAGTGGATATGGATAAAGTAGAGAGCTCACAGATGCCTACTAAAGCAGAAATAGCAGAAATGTTTAAAGGACTTGAAAGAACCCTAAAACAGGAACTGGCGAAATTACACAAAGACCGGGGGCAAATATTATCAAGGGTGGAGGAGACGGAAGAAAAAAAAACTAGATAAACATGCCCAAATTATACATAAATTAGAAAAACGGCTGATGGAAATGAGAAAAAGAACAAATAAATCTGTTATATAAATTGGAAGACCAGGAGAATAAGGATAGGAGATGCAATCTAAGGATACAAGGCTTTCCAGAGATCTCCCAAGGAGAAAATTTGACGGGAATAATAACAAGAATGCTGAATACTATAATGGATAGAACTATAACAGAGCCTCTTAAAATGGATGGAGTATATAGAATAGGAAAATACATACAAGAAGATAGAAAGGAAAGCCAAGAGATGTAATAGTGCAATTCCATAATTTTCAGGCTAAAGAAGAGCTTTGGAAGAAGATAAAAGTAAGAGCAGTAATAAAATATGGAGAAATAAATATACAGATCTTTGCTGATTTAGCAGCAGAAACATTAATAAGAAGGAGAACCTTGAAACCGTTATTGGAACAGATGAGAAAAACAGAAAAGTGGGGTTAGGACCACAAATGATTCATAGGCAAAATGCAAGCCTAAAGAGAGATGGGGGGGGGGGGGCGGAGGGGAGGGGAGGGAGGAGTGGGAGGGATGGAGGAGGGGTGGAGGGGGACGGAAGGGTGGGTGGATGGGTGGAGGGTATGGGGAGAGGATAGGTAGTTTAAGACTCTGCGAAATAGCGGGAGAAAAACATCAGTCTGGAGAAATCCTAGAGATCAAAGGGGAAGATGTGGAGGAAAGAGGAAGAGGGAAGAGATGGGGAAGATAGAGGTGTGGAGAGGAGAAGAATGAAAGAGATTCACTTTGTGACTTATAATGTTAAAGGGTTAAATAGCTTTGGGAAGAGATTTGGGATTTTTAAAGAAATTCAACATAGATTTTCTTCAGTGTTTTTTTTTTACAGGAGACACATTTGGTGCAATAATCAAATGTGAAATTAAATTCCAGATATTATCCAATGTGGTTTTATGCAGATTCCCCAATTAAACGTGCCAAGGGAGTGGCAATAGGTTTTGCGAAAAATATAAGGTTTAAGCTGGAAGACAGACTGGTAGATCCAGAAGGGAGATTTGTTTCTGAAGGGAAAATTACAGGAAATAGACTGTACATTAGCAAATATTTATTGCCCGAATAAGAAACTGGAGGTATTCCTAAAAAATACTCTGAGGAAGTTAATGGATTTCAAAAAAGGCAATTTAATTGTGGCAGGTGATTTCAATTTCTGCATGGATCCCCAGATGGATATGACGTCCCCTGTGCAGAGAGATGGTAGTAGGTCTCTGAAATCCTTGAAAAAAATTATATACCAATGTCAACTGGTAGATGTATGGAGAATTAAGCACATGAAGGACAGAGACTATACGTTTTATTCTCATGCACATGAGATGTATTCAAGACTGAATTATATATTGCTGGACTATCGACTTATCGAGTCCATGGTCAAAGTAAAAATAGAAGTGATGTCAATATCGAACCATGCTCCTGTCACAATGCAATTATTATGGGGAAATGAGCAGATCGGGGGGAAATTATGGAGGTTAAATGAGACACTTCTCCAGGATTCAGAGGTGGATCAAAGAATGAAAAAAGAAATAGAGCAATTTTTTGAGGAAAATGATTCTGGGGAAGTGTCCGTAGCAACAGTGTGGGAGGCTCATAAGGCCTATATTAGAGCAATCCTGATAGCGAGTGGAGCAAAAAAAAAGAGGGAAAGAAGAGAAAAAATAAACACGCTTCTTAGTGAACTCTGTGAGTTAGAGCAGATACATAAACATAAAGTAACAAAAGAGATTATGCAGAGGGTAATAAATAAAAAAGAAGAATTAAATACATTTCTGGAAGAAGAGAAGGGTGTTTAATAAAATGATAAGTGAGAGATACAGATGGGGAGAGAGGGCCAGGAAAGTATTTAATGAGGGCTCAGAGAAAAAAAAAATCTAGAAACTATATAGAGAAAATAAGAGACCACAAAGGAGAATTAATATATTCAGCTAAAGTGTTTAAAGAATATTATAATAAGCTATATAATATTATCCCCCACAGCTCCATAAGTAAAGATGAAGTAGGAAAAATAGAAAAAAGACAGACATACTTAAAAAAGGCAGGATTACCAAAATTAAGTGAGGAGCAATTAAAATCCCTAGAATCAGCAATAACGCAGGAGGAAATAAACTTAGCATTAAAGAGCACTATAGCTGGGAAAAGTCCAGGACCTGATGGATACACAGTGAGATATTATAAAAAATATAAAGAATTATTAGTACCTAAACTGAGGATATATATGAATGCATTGGGAGGAGAGATGGAAATGAGGAGGGAATCCCTACAAGCCCATGTAGTTCTCATACATAAGGAAGGTAAAGATGATACTCACTGTTCATGTTATAGACCGATTTGCTTATTAAACACAGATGCCAAACTATATGCAAAAGTTCTGGCAAACTGGTTGAAAGACCTAATGACGGAATGGATACACATAGACCAAGTAGGCTTTGTCCCAGGGAGAGAGGGTAGAGATAACGGACTGAGATCTCTGTTTCTCATACAAAAAAGTAGGAAATAGAAAATCCCTGCAGTGGTACTCTCTATGGATGCTGAAAAGGCATTTGATAGAGTAGATCGGGGATATATGTTGGATACATTGGAAGTATTGGGGATGGGACCTAGAATGAGAGAGTGGATAAGGAAATTATTTTGTCAACCCTCTGCAGCAATCATGGTTAATGGGGAATGCAAGTATTTTGGGATGCAGAACGAAACTAGACAGGGATGACCTTTGTCTCCATTGCTATATATTTTATCATTGGAATCTCTTTTGGCTACAATAAGGAATAATATAAATATAAAAGGAATTTGGATAGGAGATATGGAGCATAAGGTGGCAGCTTCTGCAGATGACATGCTGTTATATGTGGGAAACCCAAGGATAACATTGTCAAATTTAATGAAATCACTAAAAGAATATGAGAAGATGTCAAATTTAAAAATGAACCCAACAAAAACAGAAATTTTAAACATAAATCTTCCAAATAGAGAGAAAAATAGGTTACAGGAGGAATTTCCCTTTGTTTGGAGAGAAAAAGAATTTAAATATCTAGGAATAAAATTAACTGTATCTTCCAAGAACCTGTATAAACTGAATTGTTAAATGAGATCAGGGATGAACTAAGGAAATTAGGAGGGGGAACCCCGTCATGGATAGGTCGTATAAATTTGATAAAAATGGTGATTGTTCCAAAACTATTATATAAATTTCAACTACCAGAGGTATACTTTAGATCAATTAAAAAAATGTTAAGATTTATTTGGAGGAATAAAATACCGAGAATAAGCCAGGAAATTCTATGTAGAAATAAAGAGAAAGGAGGATTGAGAGTCCCAGATTTAAAAAGATATTATAACTCCGTAATAATGGCAAGAATTTTTGGCTGGACACACAATGCAGAGGGGAAAGGCTGGGTTAATATAGAAAATATATTAAATTAAGTGGAATTGCATGGTTATCTCCACAATACAGAGGATAAGCAGACAGTACAAGTTTGTTCACATATAATGTTTTAGGAGTTTGGGATGTTTTACACAAACAGATGGGATGGGAATTTAATTCATTGTTAATGCCCTTAAAGTCCACAGAGTTCCCCCCCCCCCCCCCCGGGTAAAGAAGGTATCACAGGGAAGTGGATTAAGAAGGAAGATGCACAATTAAGGGATATAATGGTAGGGGGAGAAAATAGGATCACTTAAGGAATTGGAAAAAAAAGGAGAAGTTTTTACGAGAATGGATGAGTGGCATTATTTTCAATTGAAACACTTTATAGGAAAGCTTCCAAAGCCTTTAAGAATAAGAGAGGATTGGAATCCTTTTGAGCGCTTATTAGGTACACGGGGAGATGGGAAACACAGAACCTCTAAAATATATAAGATTCTCACTGAAATAAATGCAGATATAAGTCCCCCATAAATAAAAAAAATGGGA